AGATTTTTCACTTACATTTCTAAAATCTATTTTTAGGAATGAAGTCATTGCTTAGTAACAAAAATATATATTTTTTGAAATGATGTCATTGCTTAGTAACAACACCACACAAATATTGATTAAATCACAAATTCTCTATTCAAACAATTTATCTTGTAATATTATCTGTCTCTATTGTATGAAATGACAATCGCTATGTGTACTTTACAACAAACAAATTCCTGTATGATATAGATTTTGTTTGCCATATGATATCTTACCCTCAGATCATATACACAACCAGGACACAAGACAACAAGATCTTTAAATGTGTCCTCTAATTATATAATAATGTTCACTGATTCAAGGGTGGATTGTTGTACTGTACTTGTATTTATTTAAGTTTTTATTCATAAGTTACAAATGTAGTCTGCTGTTTTCCTAGGAATGCTAAATTTTTATGGGAAAATGGGTAGGCCTCATTGCTATTTGTGGTGCTAGCATTTGCCTGACTGGGAAGCATCAGTATGGTGCAGGAGCGAAGCCTGGCAGTGATTCAGGTGTGGGGAGAGAGGGTAAGGGGGAAGTGCCTAAGATGCATGGCACCTTCACAACTGTAAATATAAATCCCTAGCCTTTCTTAGCCTCTTGAGCCATTAAGAAGACAAGTCCAAATCCCTAGGCAGTGGTAAATGTGGCCTTTAAAATTGTATATCTGCTTGACAGGAATTGATCTTTAGCCTCACAGCGACTGCCTAATTACACTGCATTATCCATGCTGCTATGCATGCGTTGGTGTATATAATTAACCAATATTATTAATGAGCTGCTATTAAAAATTCTACGTAACTGACAATGTAGAATTTACACTAAATGACTTTCACACTTCTATATGCAAAGATTGATCTCATACAGCAGTCTAATAATATGAACAGAAGAATGATTAAAACTATTGTAAAGAGAATATGTACACCTGCTGCATACGCGATAAGGTGTGGCAAACTAACAGAGAAAAAAGATACTCAGTAACAGCAGCTAACAAGTGGCTGTCAGGCTTAAATTTCTCATTGAAAAAGAATTCAAAAATAGTTTCCTTCCAATTGTATGAGCTATGTAGATTACTCATTTGAATTTTATGATACATTAGTAAATTTTCCTTGTTTTACATATAATTTTCCCATACACACCTTGATTTCGGTATATCTCCTTATGCCTCACTGCATTCATTTTGTGTCTCAATTTGTAAATGAGATTCTTCACGGAATATTATAACATATGCACATGATAATGAGGCAGACTAAAATTGATTTTCCCAATTAGCATTTCAAATAAATATTATTATGAATACTAGAATATTGTTAATAATTATAATTACTATCATAAACATCTTTTATCAGAAGAGACCAGACTATTATATTTGATTAACTTTATTAATCATAATAATAATTTGATGACTTACAAATTCATGCTCATACAGTTGAAACCTTTATGTAGATGACAAAGAAAAGAACTAAGAAACTAAACACTAACAGTGGTGGCTCTAGGATATATTTTCTGGGGGGGGGGGACTAAGTTGTCTGACAGGGGGACTTGAGCTTGTATGCTCAAACTGGAGGAAGGGGTTGAGAGGAGGTTCCCCCTCCCAAATGAGATTTTTTTAAAGAATATCAACCTCTGGATGGCCGAAAATGGCACTCTCAGACTGTGACTAAGCATTGCTGGTCATTGATTCCGAGGAGCTAATCCACCCTCCGGTCAGTCTATTTTTCTTGTTGCTGGATGATCATTCATTCTCCCATCCAGTAGCCATTAAGTGCTTTCAATGGGCTTGCCGGTTAGTCGCTAGCATTTCGACCGGATGCATTTTAACGTCATTATAGTTAATAGGCAATAGCTAAAATTAAGAAATTCTGAATTCTGATTGGATGTTTTTTATCCTCACCAAATCCATACATAGAATAAGAATAGCCACTGCATATTTATCAAACTATGGAGCATGCATAACTAATATTACAGATATAATCATATAAAAATATCTTGTGAAATATTGAAAGCTATCAAAAATTTACTTAAAATGATCAAATTAGTTCCCAAAAAATTCAGTTTTCATTAATTTAAAACAAGATACTGTATATGCAAATTAATTTCTTATCTAAAATATGGAAATTACATTGCTCACTTGCTCGGCCATTTTAAGGGTTGCTGCAAAGAATTAATTAATATTATTTATGTCTAATTTATGGGAAATTATTTTATCATTTTAATTTTCAATAAAAAGGATAGTTGAAATTGTTTAGTTAAGCATTATCAAGAGGTAGTATTGATCAATATAATATTTAATATAATTGTTATTAAATACCATTCCATCATTCAACTTCAGGCCCTACAACTGTGATTATTATGATTAAGGCAAGATTAATAAAAGAAAAGGCAGATGGCAACAAAGGATGTCCCTAAGGCTGCAGAGAGGTTAAAGTTCACAAACAGGAAGCAAAGGTTAATATCAGGATGCACCTCAACCGTCCCACAATACCACTACCTGAATTCATCTTTCCTACGCAATTCTATGATCATTAATATTGCGCTGAGTATTCATTTTCTTTCAGAAAATGTGGCATTGATATGTAATAGAGGAAGTGATGGCAGGTGTCTCTGTAGCTAATGGCTCCTTTGTTAAATATAATGCAAAGCAGTAGATAACACGACATGGTAATTAAACATCAAAATAACTTATAAGATAATTATGATAAATAAAAGTTATAGTCACATTAGTTTGCTATAGACCAATATAAGAAATGACAAATCTCAGCACTTCATTAAAGACTAACTATAACCATAGAGATATTATAGTGTTTACTTTAATACCTCGATGCTATAGCATTAACTAGCTCAAGCTTTAATCCACACAGTGGACTTTATCAAGGGACTGTATCATGATTATGATGATGATTATAATGATAATGAGGATGATGGTTGATGATGATGGTATTGGTGGTGATGATGATGACCATGATGATAATTATAATGATGATGATAACATTAAACCCCAGTAATGAATTATTTATTTAATTATTTATGTATTTGAACCATGAAGGACAACCATCAAACAAAATGCTGATTATTTTGACCCCCTCAAATTGATAATAATGGTGATAATAATAATTACTATGAAAATGATTATAAAAATAAAGATAAAACAGTTATTGATGCTGTTATAAAGCTCTCCAATTTGAAACACATAGAAACCCCACCCCACAATTGGAAGGGATTCTATCAGCATCAACAAGACTGTACAGTCATCCACATTATAAATGTTTTCTCTAATCTACTGAGAAATGCCGGTTGTCAGGTCAGCTGATTACAGCTTAAAAATAAAATCTACAGCAGGCTGCCTTAATTGAGCATAGTGATCAGCGACAGACAGCGATGACACTGCTAATGAAGAAACCGATGACTAATGCCAACTAATGCAGCCTAACATTTCTAATACATTTGTTGCACTAGCATTATCAAACCTGCTGTCCTACATTTTGGACATGAAATAATAAAGAAAAATTTCTAAAAAAAGAGAGATACAGTTGGAATAAAATAATTAGATAATGGTTTGAAGTTCATATAAATACTCCCTGATGATTAAAAATATTGTAATATTTCTTTTTAATTTATTCATGTGCCAATATGTGCTTTTCTTACAGAGGCACATACCAGTAACAAGCTACTGTGTCAAACAGAACCAACAAAAATAAACAAAAAAACCAAATTGGAATGTACTAAAGTGCCATAAAATATAAAGATGTCTATATACTATTTAAAAATTCTAGACAAGCTTAAGTTTAATGATCATGTTTAAAAGGTCATTCTGTTTTCTGATGAGTTAAATGACACTAAATTTAGAACAATTTTCAAACAACAACTTTTATTGCTCATAAACACCTAACATCACTGCGTTCTGCATAGAGACATGTTATGAACCTTAATTGTATACTTTATGAGTACCAAATAAAAAGAAACGAAACGAATTCTTAGTTTGAATTGGATTGGATAGGATTGGATTCATTGGATATTTTACCTGTATGGTAGTTAAATGTTTGCGATTTATAGTAAATAATATGGTAGTTATTTACACATGTTATTTTAAGCATGTTGTTATCTTATGGATTCTTTTCTATGTCTTTACATTGGCAAATATGAAGGGCTCTCCATTGTATGACATGATTAAATGACATTAGTTAGACACACCCATTCACATTAAACATGTGACTACAGTTAATGCGCCTCTGCCCACACTCCGTCTTAGCAACAAATTTGTGGATTTTGCCCATATATGGGTTTAAATCGACATCATCATGCCCATTTATAGACAAATCATATAACTTTTCCCACGAAACTTGGTAGTGTACAGGGGCGGATCCAGAGATGTCCAAAAGGGAGGGGGGAATTTTTGTGATAAGTACATTATAGTCATTGGCTGCAATCTTAAGGTTTGGGGTTCGAATCATACTTTGGTTATCCCTTGTACAAGGCATTTTATTAATCTCTTAAAAAGATGATAAGAGCAATCTATTAAACCATCAAGCTATCCTCACAACATAATTTGGTTGTTTCTGTCAGCATAGTGAGTGCCTAGCTTCAGATTAATACGGGGGGAGGGGTTCTTTAGGCAAGGGGTACAGGGGAAAGCCCCGGTGGGGTCAGCGAAACCCCCAAAGCCAGATGATTTTTGTGTTTTATGGGTCTAAATAATGCTATAAAAGCAGTTATGTTTGAAAAAAGTCTGCAGCAAAACATTCTCTATGAGTCTGGGTGGGTCTGCAGTGCATTAGTTGGGTTTTAGGACTCGTACTGGAAATTCAAAGGGATGGGGTTCTCCTGAAAAAAAGGGGGTTTGCTGGAAAAGGTGGGTTTGCTAGAACCATGAAACCCCCCTGGATACCGGCCCACATAACTTTTGAATGTACGAAAACAAAAACAAATTAAAAATAAATACATCATCTGCTTTAGAATAAGTTATCATATCTCACCTATACATCGGTACCATGACTGTAACATTCGCCATATCAGTGAGTTGCAACTTTCACACTGATGGTTGACACCTCTGCCGTGCTTTCTCCGAAATCTATGGCCCACAATCACCTTAATATCTGGACTGTCCTCTTCTGGAAACTGCAAAAACAAATCAAAAATCTTAAAAACGCCACAGCAGTTTTAAAGCTCAATACCGTGTAGGCAAACCTAGCTTATAAAAACATTTATTGAAAAAAACATACATGTTTCAGCAGTACATCTGCCATCTTCAGTGTCAGTGAACTAATTGCTCTCATGCAATCTTCTTTATAATGAAGTGTTTTGAAAATAAAGAGAAATTTAACAATAGCTATTTGTAAAAAAACAACATGACATTGCATTTTAAAAAATCAATAAAACCTTACAAGAAGCTATCAGGGCTTCATTTGAAAAAATGAGATGGTTTTTAATCTGACAGAAATTTTAATGCTTTGGTCAAAGAAATATTTAAAGTAAAACATTGAAAAATATGCCATGCACTGAAAAATTAGAGAGCAAACACATGTTTACCATAAATTCTCAGATGTTTCCAATAGAGCTTTGCAAGATACGTTAGATTTGACGAGCTGATCCCTAGCTACTTTAGATCTTGAAGGCATAATACTTTGTGGTATTGATAGACCTGTCTGATATACCATGGATATACCATACTTACTTCCTGTAATACTTAAGTATATGTAGGCCTATGAGTGGTGTACAACAATGTGTTCTTCCTTGAGGCATTAACAACGTTAAATGCTAAAAGATGGTGATCTTTTGAAATTGTTTTTCAAACAGCCTAGGTCTTTAGTTACAACAGTTATGTGGCAATACTAAAATGTTTTAAACAAAATTCACTTCTTGTGTACATCATATAAATTTAATTAAAATAAAACAAAACAAAACTTTTAAATTTAAAAAAAATAAAATGTCTATGAAACAATCTGGGAGCACCCTCCCAAAATTTTATCATTGAATTGTTTGTTTAAAAATATCAAATAATATTATGTTATCAAACTCCTTTCAGACCACGGAGTTCAGACTCTGATCATACAATTCAATCTTCAGTGATGATTTTCTTTGATCATAGATTTAAAAAACTATATGCATACTGCATTGCATACTGAAGACATTTACAGTGGTGGATCCAGGAATTTAAAATAGAGGGGCCCGGGGAGGTACTTTCACAGATGAAGGATGTATCCCACCTCAGCCCCAGTGGCGTACTTAGGGGTGCACAAGGGGGGTGCACACCCCTCCAAAAAATTATTACCCTTAAAAAAAAATCACGGTCAAAGTAGTTAAAAATCACCTAAAATTGACATATTTTGCGAATTAGCACCCCTCAAACGATCATCCGGCCCTCTTCCACTTCACCCCCATCAGCACCCCCATTGCAAGACTTCCAGATATGCCACTTCCCAGCCCCACAATGGTTGGGGCTAAGGTAAGAAAATTTGTGATTATGGCATCTCTAGATGGCGATGGCCGGAAATTGCACTCTCAGATTTAACATTAACAACTGTGACAAGACGACCTAATAAGCAGCAGGAAATTATGTTCAAAAGCAGGACACATCTGCTTAGAAGGTGGGGGGGGGGGAAACGGGTGGTGAACAAAGTATATTACATATATGATAAATTACCACCACAACTAAAACTATGCCTGTGGGGAGGGCAAAGTTGTCTAATAGGTGATCTAAAAATATCCGGGACCATCAGGTCCCAGCAGGGTATAGGGGTAGAGCCAGGGTGGGGTCCTGGGCGTTAAGCCCCTTGGCACATAGAGAATCTAAATAAAGTGATAAAGTTGATTTTTCTTTAAATGTTTAAAGACATGTAAAAAGTAAACCCTTTTCAAAATCTTATAAAATGAAGGAAGAATGCTTTACAGGGTTGACCTCGGGTCAAGAATTCTTAACAGGCATGACTTTGGCAAATTTGAATCGAAATGAAAAATATTTGTTTTACTTGGCCAGGTTGATTATCGGTATGTGGGTAATTGTTTTACCAATGCCTTTACAAATCTCAGGAAACAAATTTGTTATCGCAGTACAAGCTGGTTTTGTGCAGTATATTCAATTTTTTATGAATGTTTTTTCTTTAACAAATTTAATTACTGTGTGTTTCTATAAAGGGTTATTTTTCATAGGCAAGGCCATGTTTTTGTTAATGGTTAATAGTATTTGTTGTTTGTCATCTTACTGTTGGCTTGTTTGTGATGCATGGACATTGAAGATTTGACTAATTCTATGAATAATGGAGAATGCTATCGATGAAAACGATGCACATACAGTTATTGGTGAATGAATTTTTGCTAGAAATATTGTACGAGTCAATATTGGTGATTACTGTGGTTTTGTGAATATCTTTGTTATTGATGAAAATGTTATTTTTATTGATGAATCCAATTCCTAATTGTCTGCTGAATAATGTGTTATTGATGAAAATTAATGTCATGTTATTGAATATCTATGTTTTTCACAAAACAAAATTTGGTAAAGGAAATTCCCGTAACAAGTAATAATAATAGTGTATTTACAACAGAATATGCAGAATATATTACATAACAATATAATTATATATTTTTGAAGTTTACAGACCTTGTTTATTTGCGCCTTATAAATCTACCTATTACTAATGTGAACATACGGTTTGAATAAACATCAACCACCATTTTAATGTGGACATTTTGTCATGACCACATAATTTGAGTTTTCTCTTGACTAGCTATGAGGAAATTAAACTAGACAGCTGTCATTACCATGTTCCATAACTTTTTTTGCATGATATTGAAATGCATGTCCTTTTTGAAAAAAAGGAGATAGTTTTGCAAGTTCTATAATCTGCCTTTTCCTCCCAACAAGAAAACAAGAGTTGTCTGTACACAATCTGACATTTCCAATTATTGTCAGAAAAGAGTTTCTTTAGAATTTTTGGTCATAGTAAGTTCTAAAATGTCAGTAACCGTAACATAGCACAAAATTGCTTAATTTGTATAGGCCTGCACTAGTGCTTCACCTCTGAATCCTGACCAAGGCCTGAATGGTCCCGCAGCCCTGTTTAAACCTGCTAGAACTTGTCAGATCCTCAGTTGAACAGGGAACAGCTTCCCACCCCCTCATGCACATATCCTTCCTAGAGACACTATTGATTCTGAGGTCATACATTCTATTCCAACATGGTCCCTTAATGCATTTTCTTGAAATAATGATGAATAATATTTCAACAATATGAACTACTGTAGGTAAAAATAAGAGAATCCATATTTTTTATTTTTCTAAAATATTCAATGTTAATTTCTCTTTTGATAATCCAAATTTATATTGAAATATGAATTTTTGCAATGATATGATTTTTTCTGCCAAGAAAAACATGTGAAAACATGCATGTACAATTGTAATAATTGTAGTAGTAGCATCAATGAGAAAACAAAGTGTGGTCTGGTGGTTCAATCTTGAGAAGAGATCAAGTAAACCTATAAAATATCTGCCTGTCAGCAAATTTAAGGGTTTATGCAAAGAATAGGAATGGTTTTATTTATCACAAATATTGGTAACTTCCATATTATCCTACTTTGGACTATGTAGATCAGGTGAGGTGTCACAAGCATAACAGCTTGATAAAAAAAATGAACATAAATGAGAGTTAAAAGAGAAAAGCCCAAAAAAAGGTTCAGGAAAAAAAGTGTTTTTTCATTTACTTAAGATACAACACAAGCCGACAGCTGAACACACCCTACGAACATACTGTAATAATTACAGTATAACATGGAAGATATTTTGAGCTGATCCCCAGACTGGGCCATTACTGGTGGAAAGTCATTGATAGAGAATACTGATTGTAGCTATGACAATGGATAATAGCATGAAAACACAAGTAATGAGTTTTAAAATACGATACATTTCTCTATGGTTCTATTTGCCTGTGATTCAGTATACCAATTACATTTCTTGGGAGAGTCACCAAATTTATTATGTAAAAAAAAATACTTCAGATTTATAAAGCACTCTTGCATGAGTGGCCTCACAGCGCTACTTTAATTTTGAGTGTGGCTTGAATTGTGGCGTATCTAGGAATATCGACATGTGGGAGGGTGTTACGGGGACATGAAGATTAATTAGATGGGTGATAGTTGAAAAACATAAGGTGATATTAGGTGACTTTTAACTACTTGAGCATAACTTTTTCAAAAAGCGGGTGAAGGGCATCCACACTTTCTATAGATATGCCACTGAATTGGATGTAAAACAAACTTTTTGGGGTATTTTTTTTTTTATATTGGAATCCTATTGTTTTAAATGTGGGTTAGATTGATTAAGATCAAGATCTTCAGGATATTATCTGTGTTTACGACTACTGTATAATCTTTTAATATTCTTTATTTATTCTAACACAACACCCTACTAAATTTATGATACATTCATTATTTTTTTGCATAATCATAAATAAATAATAATAAATAGTACCTAAACACATAAACAAACAGACAGACAGACAAACACAAACAATGGCGAATAAATAACGTCCTTTGCGGAAGTAATTAAGCATTTAGCATGCAAAAATCTGGTAAACACAACACAAAATAGAAACAAAGTTCTTACTTTCACTTCCAGTAGCTTCATTCGAAGTTGAACAAGCTTGTTTACGAGTGTTCGTCTTTGTTCAGAGTGCTCATCGCTTTTTCGCACCATCTCTTTACAGTTCTCAATAGCGAGTTCTAGCTCCTCTACCTTACTGTATCCGAAGAAACCCTTTAAAGCAACAAGGGAAAAAATAAATCTACATTGACAGTTTCCTGAGGAAAGTCGAGCACAGGCATGAAAATTGGAATTCTAGCCAAGTTTTCAATTCAATTCCTCTTCAAATAGATATAAAATGAGATAGATTTATTGAATAATTTACAAACTATTAAAATTATAAAATCATGATTATGTTCATGCAGTGAATTTCTTTCAGATGGCTGTTCATGTAGAATGAAATAAAATTCTGATACAAAGAAACACAATGAGGGTGTACATCATAAACGTACGGCAGCATAATCATAACTTAATATAAAAAATAAAATGATTGGCACCTTGTTTGGACACAAGTTTTCGCCTGGGTATGCCTGATTATCAGTGTCATACATTCTTTTGATATTTTCATGGTGAATTAACTTTAATATTGTATAGCATCTCATCAAATATGTACCAAAAATATTTATTGATTATTGTGGAAGTTAGGGGTCATCCATTATTTTCATAATTTTTACAAGAGTACAAAATACACTTTTCTGTGGCCCTCTCCCACTCCACAAAAGATTACACAATAAAATGATGATTTTTGTCATTTTGAGATCAATAATATCTTTTTCATAAAAGAGTCCATATGCCTACATTGTTAACTCCCCACTCCCCAAAAACATGTTTTGTACTCTGGCAAAAATGATGAGAATTATAAACGGTCCCTTGCAGTAGTCAATAAGGTAGTAGACTAAATTATTTCAGGTAAGATAAGGAATCCATGTCTCCCAAAAGACCATGGCCTTCTTAAAACTATTCAATCTAATGTACTCTCAGAAGAGAATAACACTACTTTTTATGAAGTTATTTTAACCAAAATCTCATTATTCCAACAGATGAAGTTATTTTTCTTCAAAAAAACCCCAATATCTTGTTCTCATCTAGATTTGAACCAAGAACACTAAGTGTTGGGTTGCTTTACCAATTCAAAGAATGAATGAATAAACGGATGGATAAATGAATGAATGAATGACTGAACGAATGAATGAAAGAATGATTGAATGAATGAATATACAAATGAATGAATGAATGAATAAATGAATGAATGAATGAATGAATAAATGAATGAATGAATTAATTAATTAATAAATGAATGAATGAATGATCGGACAAACAAAAATTAAATGGATTGCCACTCTCAATAATGAAATAACATTTTTATTGGTTTTGTTATTCTTTTCTTTTGTTGAAAAATAATAATCTACCTAGATCAAATAACAAACAGGTCCAGTACAAAGTATAATCACATTATATTCATCTCCATAAGTGACAGTATTGTGTACATGAGAGCTTGGATCAAATAAATATTCAACTAGATTCTAAATAAATACTGACTTCTGTTTGAATACTGATTCTTATATAGATTATTATTGACCACCATATAATTTATCACATGATTATAGACAATGTATAGGCAGATTCAAGGGGCAGATCCCCGCTCCCAAAAAAACCATGAAATTTTTAATACAAAAAAAATGGGGAAAAAGAAAATACATTCAAATTTAAGTCTGAGAGTGCGATTTCCATTCATCTAGAACGGCCATAGACATAAAATTTGGTAGCCTGAACTCTTCATCTATAAAATTGCCTTTCTAGGCCCCTCTATATCGAATTCCTGGATCTGTCACTGTAGTCGTACAGAAAGTGGCTACCAGAGGTTGAGCATTATTGACGATGACGGTGTGGTTTGGTGGTGAACATGTTTGCCTTCCAACTTGAAGGTGCTGGGTTTGAATCCTATTAAAAACACCCAATTTTTTTTTTCACACAACTAGAAAAACTTCCCTCCTTAAGCCTCAAATGTAGAAAGACTACATACAGAATCGCATAACACTAAAAAAAAATGGTTTTTTTTTATATTGTAAATTACATTTTAATATTTTTTTTTCAATTTTATTCATTTTCATGTTTGCTGTTTTTCTATTTTATCAATTTTTATCATTCCTTCATTTATCATTAATTCATTTTAAATCTGTTTTCATAAACCTTGTTTAAAATTCCATTCTGTAAGTAAGAGTCCATATATAAAAGAAAAATGTGAAATAAAAAATATAATTGACCAATCCTAATGTTTCCCTATTATGATGACACATAATGATTAATTTCCTTACAAAAACTAAACTAATTTTCATAATAATTTTTCCGATAATTATCAATCTTTTTAATTAATACAATCCCTTTAAATAGTATGACACAAAATACCAATATCAATAATTAAGGAGGTATATTTTTATACCTCCTTGCAATAATAAAAAAAAAAAGTATAATCAAGTTTTACTATTATTTGTTTTAACAAAGAGATATAATCAGTAAATTCTGCACTTAATGCTCTGCTGAATATGTATGATCTACTTAATAAAGAATCTGCATTCCTGTATAACTTAATAACAACAGTTATCTGTCTGCATGAGAACAATTGTAAATTTTGGATGGTAATCTTTGTGTGTAAAGTGTAAATCTAATCAAAACTCTGTACAATAAAAAGTGTCTACACATCCTTACAAAACCCCTCTTATAACATGGTAACTAAGTGAGACGGAAATGCCTGGTTTCATACAGTATCATTCAAATGTTACAAAAACCATGCAACAGATCGTTTTGCAACTACGATCCGTTCAGAAGGCCACCGGAGACTTAGAAAAAGGCGTTGCATTGTTATGTACTCACACAAAGTGCAGATGGATTCTGGTTTAAAGACTAAAAGTGGTCTTTTTTAAACATCATATAATAATTTTAATTTCTCTTTCGTAAAAAAAAGTGAACAAAAGTTAAACAAATTTATAAAGCTCTTCAAGACGGGTAAACACTGCGTCTGATGAATCCTTTTTAAATCTGTGTGAAGGTTTGATGATTTGACGCAGTCTGTAGATTGCCATTAATAAGACATCTTTGCTGTTTCAATGGAATCGCGTCAGATGACCAACGTTGACCAATATTGTGTGCGCCTGGGTTTGAGATCTGTAAGTGCGTGCTCAACGGTGATGTTATACCCTAGTACAGGTATTACAAATGCTTATGTAAACAGAATGACCAATAACAGTAATGAGTAAATAAGATGGCAATTAATAAATCTAGTAAATAATCAAAATATGTTCTACCTGGTTTACCGGATGTGCCCATCTTTGCTTATAACACAAGAACCCTTTACAAAGAGGCATAATGAATTAAATTTTTACACCCACATTACAAAATACACTGTATCAGCCAAGAAGCAAATTAAATCTGGCAAAACTCCACAAGTTTGGGCAAAATAAATCATGCCTCGAGGTCATTTGCATTGAATTCAGCGAGACTTCCTGAGAAACTTGGACTTTCTTAAGTACTGGGCATGCCCAGATCTACAAGTTAAGAGCTTGTCAATTAGATATGATTAGTTACATCCGAAATATGAATAATACCCTCCTCCCCAAAGAATGCCTAATACGAAGCACATCATTGTAAAGACTATATTCATAATATGTTGATGTAGAGTGAGATTGGAAAAAGAAAATCATATAACATTAGAAGAAAATCTAAGACGTCATTTCGTAAACAATATTCATGGAGAATATTTAATTGCAAGAACACCATATTCCTGAATTTCTAAAATTTCACACAAGAACATGGCCAAAGACTATCTATATCAGCTACTTCACATCTTTGGAATGAACTACATTTTTCCATTAGGTCATCTACCTCTCTTTAACACCTTGCCTTTTAATGTACACTGCGCCTTTAATCATTCATTCATTATTATTATATTACTAAAAAAACACAATTAATATCTTTAATATCTGGGAATGGGACTGTTGATGCTCCACAACCAAGTCATGAGTTCGAGGTCCCAAGTTGGAGGAAGTCATTTCTGGAAGATCGACAGTGGCGGATTGAAGGTGGGGGTTGGGGGGGGGGAGAGACTTTTATAGATGGAGAGTTGACACCTCAACTCCACCATGGTTGGAGGTGAGGTAAGAATATGATTTAGGCACCTCTAGATGACCAGATATGGCCCTCTCACACTTAAATTTGAATATAATTTTTTTTCTACCCATTTTTTCTTAATGATTTAAAAATATTCATGGGCCTAGGCTGACTTTGACTTACTGAATTGATTTTTGTACATAACGATTTTAATCATAAAAACCATATGAATATGTATACTGTATATGAATACAGTATGTATAGGATATTATATTGGAATTAAACTTCCTGTGGTAAAATATGGAAAATGCTCAATAATCAATTTAAAATATTGATTACTTCATTTATAAGGATCAAATAAGTTAACAATTTCCGATGAGAAAGATTGAAATAAATTTCATATTTTACAGATTTTAAAGGCTATTAATAATACGGACATCCTTCTAAGGATTTAAAAATTGACTACCAGCCAACTGAAAGCCAGGCTCTGGAAGGAAAAAAAATTAGACACTATGCTTCAAAAAAGGATTTCCTAAGACACTGACAAGGAAAAAATAATCTGGTAAGACAGATATTTAAATATAAAATTTGAAAAAAGGGATTCATTTTATTTTTCCACTTTGAACCTGAAACTAACCCAGTATAAAAAGTGTTGAGAATGTTCAATATTTCATGAAAATATTTACAATTGATATATTTTAGCGATTATCTTAATATGATCTCACAAAATATCTCACTAAGTTTTTAATGTAAAAATACAGGACGGTACTTTAGCTGTAATTTTATATATGCTTTTTAATAGTTTTATTTGGTTTTATCAATTATGTGATGTCCAATTTATATAAATTTTTAAATATTTATACATGTATATTATTTAGTTTTGATGTAACATATCTGTGATATCTTTAAACACTAATTGTTTTTATAAAATATTCTTAATGGATATTATGTACTTAATATTTTAATGAATTTTACGTGTGTATTACAACTCAGGAAAACAAATTTCATGTATTTTTTATGTGATTGATAAAATAAATCTGAATCTGTATCTGAGACATCACATTTTAATTTTACAATACAGTAGGCCTCCCATCATATTGACAGCATATACTGTAGTACATGTACATTTCAATTAAAGTGCATTTCTAAAATAGCTGGATATACTGTAGTCAAATCATTCAGTACAGTAATCAAAATCTAAGACATTTGCACTTAATAAGATGTTACTTTTCAATGAAAATATATCTGGGGCTCCTCATCAAAAATATTCACTAGAAATCCAGGTTATAATGAGAGATTTTCAATCAAGTTGTTTCATGTTGCTTGCATTGAATGTTTCGCATAATTAGATGAGTCACCTGTGTCCATCGTAACATGATTTAATTCATATGATGCATCAGAATATTTGAACATGAGTCATACGAAAGAGTCCACTACCTCCTCCAACTAATGAAAATCTATTTTAGCATATTTCTAAGAGATTGTCTGAGGGAGGGCAGAAAATAATAATAATAATAGTGTAGTTTTATATAGCGCACAAATCCATCTAATGTAAGATGCTCAGGGCGCTTGAAATGTGGACTAGTGACTCGATCAATGACTTTCTTCGCCCCTAAGGGTCCCTTCGTGTCTGTGCTACCCGGTAACCCGGTACCAGCAACTCTCGTCGTCCACCACAGGGGCTGTCTGTTCCAGTACACCGGGGTATCCCCCTACTCGTCTCTAAGGATGTACAGGGTTCTTTATAGTGCACACGAGCCATTGTATACACTGGGCCTACGGATTAATAGTCCTTATCCGAGAAGACTTGTTCTACCACCAGAACCATAGGCGAGCGTGCCGTTCGAACCAGCGCCGATATTATGGCTATAGCTTGCGGCGCCCCTGCTAACCGCTCGGCCATTCGACTCACCATAAGGTGGTATCAATCAACCAATTGAACTGATTTTCAAGTTACTTGCATAATGTGCAAGGTACAAACAATTAATAAAGATGCTCCTTAGGCCCTCACTCAAGATCTTATCTCACATGAACACAATGAATGTGATCATGGATAAACAACAGTAATCAAATTGATAAATGCTTTATATTTATTTAAAAGCAGTGCACAGAAGAAATATTTAATAAACTTGTTTTTAAAAAAAACCTGTGTCCATCGTAACATGATTTAATTCATATGATGCATCAGAATATTTGAACATGAGTCATACGAAAGAGTCCACTACCTCCTCCAACTAATGAAAATCTACACAATTATTGACTTGTCATTATTTACAAAAGGTCAAAGGGAACCTGCATTCTAAACCATTCAGTATTTTAAATGGCAATTACTGTATTAAAATTTATAATAATAGAGTTTAGTAATAATTTTTATCTGATTTTATTCTTTATTTAAATAACTTTATTCCTTGAAACATTAAATCAATGCAGGTATTTTTACCAATCATTGCTTAACAAAACTTTAATTATATTATCCATAAAACTGCAACTGTGTCAGAAAAAGCAGGGAAAAAAACCTTCAAAATGAAGAATGAGAAGATAAAAATGAAAAATTAGATAGTATTGATGAATAAAGTAAATGTGTGTCAGGTAAAAATGTAATAAGGTGTATTGGGCCATCACTCAAGATCCTACTGTATCATCAGAAAGCTACATAAACTGAATAAAATATTGAATTTTGTTTTCTAAAATATCATTTAACAACAAAAAAACTTGCCTACAAAAAGAAATGTATAGTTTACCTCAGGCCGAGAGAAATGGTCCTCTGATAGGCCAAGATCCTCATCGGTGATGTCAGCAAATTGTGAATCATCAAGTGAAAAGACGGAGTTTGTATCACTGGAATCACTCATTTCATCAATAGCCTTAACATCTAATTGGGCCTTTAATGGATGACCTGCATGCATTTGACAAAACAGAATTATGTCTTAATACTGTACATTATTAGGATATGAACGATCCTACCTCGGGATGCACAGTTTGGGATATGAGGGCTGCAGCCTTTAGAATATGAATGATCGTATTCTGAGATGCATATATTAGGGTACAGGTATATTGGATGTAGCTTAAGTATTTGAATGTACTTGTACCCAGGGATGTATAATTTGGGGTACCGGTATGCGAGTGGCGGCCTTGTATTTGAAAGATATTCAAACCCAGCCTCCAGTGATCAATTGTTTTTAGTTAATGTAGTTAATGATCTGGTAATTACCTGATATCAATCAACCAATTGAACTGATTTTCAAGTTACAGATTAATGAAATAGTCCCAATATGTAAACACTTGAGCATTTCCTTGTATGTATGATTGAAATTTTGGAGGTGAAAAATAATCAGCAGAGGCTAGTATACACATATTTGTAGTTTAAGTTGTTATTTTTTTGTTGTGCTAATGCTATAAATTTCAATCCTGTAATAAAAGATTGTTAAATGGTTAATTTCAATTATATTAGGTTTCTGACCTTCAACAAAACTAAAAAGCAGCCTCTGTAATTGACGTCTGTGATATGTAGAAGCAATGTATGATGGCTGGGGATTATTATAATGAAGGCAACAATGATAAGTACAGATAGGTAAAAATAAAGGAAAATTGTCAACACGCCACTTAAAATATATCACAAAATCATTATTTTACTGAAATTAACCAACAACAAACTTAGAAGTCAACATGCCTTTGAATCATACAGAATAAATATAAAACAAAAATAATCAGTGACACTGAAAATAATGGACGTGTTCACAAAAACCATACACAAAATCACTAGTTATCTCTAGATCATCAACAGGCCAAAAAATGTGGGTTCCCAAGTCACAGTGATTTTGAAATCATGGTTGGTCAGCAAATATAACATTTTTAAAATTTTGCTGGCCCTACTGTAATTTCTACGCATATAGTATTTCTGCATTTTTTTCATCAAGTGTATTGATCTCTCTTTTGCAAAAAAAGAAAAAAAAAAATGCCAAACCAAACTTTTTGCAATAAGTAATGCAGCCAAGTCAGAAATTCTTGGGCAACACAAATTAGTATTTCTGTTTTTGCCTACACATTATGGATGCCTTTCTACTGAAACTGACTCAAGATTTTAAAAATGTTTGGTCAGTTGGGAATGGGCAACAAAAGTTTTTTTTTTTGGCCTACGTCATGATCTACTATTAAAATGGTGATGTAGAAATGACAAAATTGTAATAAAATAGAAAAGTAAATGATGATTTAAGAATACCAGTGGAACAAACCAAATCCTTTTCTGCATTAAAAAAACATGAAAAAAAGATTCTGATGTTAAAGCCTGTTTTTCACTAGGTGAATTGATTTGTGCGAATTAAAAGAGTTGGTTCATGTGCATGCACATTCACAATTCTATCAGACTTTAACTAGAGCGAAATCAGTTGTTCAAACTGTTTCTAGTTTTTTTTTACAAAGCGAAAAAATGGGCAACCAATCAGAGCTCAGGAAGCAAACTAACGCTTTTGATTTGTGCAAATAAATTCGCCTAGTAGAAGACAGCCTTATAGAATCCAACACCATGATTAAGCAAGACTTTTTTTATACCTTGTTTAGCATATTTCTAAGAGATTGTCTGAGGGAGGGCAGAAAATAATGTGCAAGGTACAAACAATTAATAAAGATGCTCCTTATGCCCTCACTCAAGATCTTATCTCACATGAACACAATGAATGTGATCATTACAACAGTAATCAAATTGATAAATGCTTTATATTTATTTAAAAGCAGTGCACAGAAGAAATATTTAATAAACTTGTTTTTGGGAAAAATTCATGGAATGTAATAAAAATGATTTTAAAATTTTTTTTCTCCAGAAATTCCAAGTTTTTTTTTTCATGGCAGCATATTTTCTAGTTAGCAAACCAAATATATAATTTAAAACTTGCATCCTTTTGATTCAATTATCAAGGATTCAGTTATGTAATTCACCTCTTTCTTTGCTAAGGGAAGTTGAGAAAACGTCCATTTGTGTACATAAAACTGAATTGGATTCCATTTTTCTACAATTTAAACATTTATTGGCAGATAATGGGTTTCGCTACACGCTACACAAGATCTACAAAAAGTCTTGCCTCTAAGGTGATTACATGGCAACATACCTAGAGTGCTGATGTTAGACTTCGTTAGTACATCAGTAGTGTTATAGTTACCAAAATGGCCATCGTCCATATAAGGAAACTTGGTAAAAGGATTAAATCTTCTTTGTGTGTATTGTGACACCACACTAGGGCTAGCATGCTCAACAGACTCAGGGGAATCATTTACAAACAAGGTGGGTACATCCATAATTCTACCTGACTCATATCTGCTTTTATGCTTGTTATGACTTCTTCCCTTCTCTGCATTTAAGGTCTTCCCATTCTGAGTTCCCACAATAATACTCTCCTCAGCTGGTGGTGGATCGGTGCCTATTGGTTTTATTTTTTCAAAATCATCATCATCAGACGATGAGATGCGAGAGTTTGAGTCGGTTGAACCGCTGAACTTGATCACCGCTGCTGCACTGTCATAGGTTTTGACATTTGTTGAGTTTGAAAACGACCTTGATTTATTTTTTGAGTTGCCTTGCATTGTAATACTTCTCTGTCCCAAAGTCCTGAATGAAGATACTGAGATATAGAAATATATAATCAAATAATCACTGGCATTGAAGTTAGTTTATGAGCATGACTAGAACACAGTAATTGTCAGTGATTAATTAAGTGCTGCACCAAACATGAATTTTTGCTACTGAAAGCAGTGCTTTTAAGCTCTAACCATACCAAATTTTATGTGACAAATTTGTGTGATGTGCCCATCATGTTTTCATAATTAAGAAATTAACAAAATAATATAACATGTTTTTCCTAGCCATTAAGCCTAATCTTAGGAGATTAAGGCAGCCTTCAATTCATGTGGCCCTCCCTGCAACCAAGTAAACCTAGGCCTAGGGGCCTAACCTGCATACACCTGTGTGAAACTACTTTATAGTTACCTGCAACTGTAAATCAATGATTTGCAATGCATACACAGGAAGAAGCATAATCCACCTTAGTTAGCCATGGTGGGTTCCAAAATCACAGTTTTGCACGCGTCCTAGCTAAGCCTCTCATTCAGTCTAGCCTAGCCCTGGCCTGGTCTTCGCTCCTGTCCCTGAGCCTAAAGTAGTACTAGTCGGCCTAAGCTAGGCCTAGGCTTAGCTAGGCAGACCCGTACCGTAGCGTACGTTAGGACTAGTTGTAAGTAAGGTAGGACAGTAGGTAGGCCTAGGGCCTAGTCCTAAACCTTTCCGGCCTACAAAGCATGTAAGTAACCAACATTGAATCAGTAACCGTCAATTCAAAAATTTAACTATAAAGAGTTGAAATCTTTAAGTACCTTTCTTCAGTTGCTGTTTTTGTTATTTCTCAAGTTGGAAAACATAAATAAACTAACTCGAAAACGATTGACCTTTGACTTCCATTATTGAATTATGAAATTTCACAAAATTTATATAGTTTATTATAGCTTGTAAAAGCTAATGTTCTTGAATTGTATAACATATATATTATTGCCAAATAATTACTATGATTTGTAATTTTTATGTTTTCTTTCATTATATTCCAGGCCTAATTTAATTTTTATGTAGAAAATATTGCTCTGGCCGCCGGCCTACTAGGCCACTCTCTGACCGGTTGTGACCTCCATCCACTTCTTACGATCACAGAGAACGACTTTAGCGAGAAAGTTTCTCAATATTTAACCAAACTCTTTACAATAACATTAATATCAACATGGTTGCAGCATGGAGACAAGCAGGATTGACGTAAGTTATAGAAAATTAACATAATTATTTAATTATTTTAACATTGCTCTTGGCTTCTGTTAGGCCTAGCTAGGCCTAGGCCTCCCTATCCCTTCGTTGGCCTGCCTAACCACCCGTCTCGCCACAGCACCAGGTCGCAGGATGAGCCTAGTCAGGCTACGCTAGGCTGACTAGCTTAGCAAGCATGAGTTAGTAGTAGCATGGCATGGCTGTATTATTTTACTATCTTCCATGGTAGTAGTAGTAACCTTTTGCATAAAAATGGAGTGATCTGTATGTAGTATATTAATATTATTTCCTATTTTTGTTGTTAGTTTAATAATATTATAATTATTAGATTTTTTTAGTTCAGTTTTTTTAAAGTGCAGTCAATGAATGGATTGAAATGAATGGTTGTTGTAAATACTATGCACAGTACTGATTGTACAGTAGGCTGGTTTGCCTACAGTAGTAGTAGGGATTAGTTACAGTGTATTCTAACTAATTGTGTTTGTTATGTTTTGTGGTTCACAATAATTCGGTGCCTTGATAGATTACAATGTAATAATAGTAATAAATTCCTTGCAATTTTGATGTCATTATAGGCCTACACATGTAGCAGTTAAAAAAAACAAACAATAATAAATAATTTAGTAACTGCTCTTTTTATTACAATAAATATCCAATGTTTATATTTCGATTTTTAATGCTGTATGTATTAATTAGTTTAAATATATTAGTTGAAATAAATAAATAATAATTTACGGTAATAATAATTATCTGAATTGTAATAATATAAAAATAAGTAGATAAAGGTGCTTAGATGGCTGTTCATCCCATCCTTTTCGCTGCATTTTAGTTTTGTTGCTCTGTTTCTCAATTTGTGCAGTGATGAAGCTTATTTTCTGGTAAATTTTATATATTTTGGATATATTACAAAAATATATTTAATTTCCCTGAAATCAAGTTTGGTCCTCATGTAATGAAAGTGACATGAATTGACCTCTACGTTCCCTCCTTCCATACCTCTTTCTTTGTACTGAAAAGCTATAAAGTAGGCCTATTATATTGCTTTTTAAATCTATTTTGCAGCTATATCCGGTATTCTAATCTCTGCGCTAGTTATGTCAGACGGGCTTTGAAACCTGAATTTAAAGTAGAAGCACTAAAACAAGAAGAATCACTTATAAGAGCTGTAAAGTTGGAAAAAGGAAAACCAGTAGAAAGTAAGGTTTTATACTTACAAACAATATTTTTTATTAATAGGCCAATACCCTTAATTCAAATTTCTAGTTACATTAGTCATATTATAAATATTCCCATTCTCATAGTTTTTGCATATACCCTTAAAATTCTGACAGCAAATCTTAAAGATTTTTTTTTGAAATGTTTCATTGTAAATATAGTAATTTAAAACTGAATGTTGTTAAATTCTACGGTTCTTTAAATTCAGTAATTAAAAGATTTATTTAAATTTTTTAAGGTTTTTGGTTGGCAGTGGCAGTATATTTTTAGGCAGAATTTAAAATTATTTTATATCTTTTATATATTGTGCAACTATCTTGTGCTATCTTATACTTATACTGTATATTAATTTTATTTCAATGTATGTTTGCATCTAAAAAATAGTAAAAACAAATTTGATTCATTCTATAAGAACTTGCATTGGAAAAACTTTTATTCAATCAATTCTTTATTGGTCCAATAAATATAAAATAGATTAGAAATCCTTTGTATAGAGGTTGCAGTGTATTTTTTTTAGTTAATACCTTCATCTGTCTTCTAATTGATTTCCATGTACATTGTTGTTTTTTTTATTTTATTGTCTTTAATTTACTGTCACTCGCTACAACAAATTAATGTTACCTTTTTGTGTTTTCTTTTTCCTTACAGAAGCAAATTCATGATTGTCAGAAAAGAAGATATATTAGTAGAGGGGGGGAGGCAGTTTAGAAGATTTAATGCTGTTAATTTGCTTTATGGTGCACATCTTGGGAGATTGTCAACAAGCTTTTGGAAATCAACAGTTTTTCTTGAATTCATTTGGAGACTACCAAGCATGTATGATATGCAGTGATGGACAATTATAACTAAATTTAGATTAATTGCATTGAATGTATCCTGTACAGGAACCATTACCCAAATAGGTTATTCAATTTGCAGAACTGTGCTTTGAATTTCAATGAATAAATGATCTGGTTGAATTAAAGTTTGTATTCAGGTTTATATGTGTATTCATACAGATTATTTTACTTAATAATACTCCAGGAGGGTGGGGGGAGGGGGCAGAAAGGCAATTTTACATAGAATGTCCAGACTATTGCACTACTAGATGGCCAGAAATGGCACTTTTAGAATAAAATTTGGAAGTTATTTTCTTCCCCCATTTTTAGCAAAACTTAGGGTAAAGCCAACCCTGTATGGTAAGGCCTAAGGGAATATAGAAAAAGTATTAGGTTATCAGTCTTTTTTCTTAAAAGAAGTGATGAATGCGGGCATTTTTTTTTTTATCGGAACAAGGGAATGTTGCTTTTTTTTTTATTGATGAGGGAGCGACTGTTTTTATTTGGCAAGAATATTGTACATATTGTATAAAAACTGATTTAATTTTATTGGTTTTTAAAGAAAAATGTATTTCCAGTCACAAAATTGCATTGTTTTTTTAAGCTCTCTTTAAAATAAATAATGCGGCAAAACAATTTTTTTTTTATTCCCGCATCAATATTTCCCAAATTTTTGACGCGGGTGGAAGTGAAAATCTAACGATTTTTTCTATTTACCCTAAAAAAATTAATTGTTTGCCCTTTAATGCTAAAAATTGTATAGGAGGGGCGGGCGCAAAATTTTTTTTTTTCCTGTCACCAAAATTAACATATTGCAATGCTTGCAACGAAGCTTGTATCACTACCGATTTGTTTTTCAAAGGGTATTCATCAGGCTGAATAAAAATATAACCCATAATCAAATTTCTACAATGAATTTAGGCCTGAATGGCGATACGTCAGACACCTTTTATGTGCAAAATGAAGAAAAACAAAAATCACTTTTTAAAATTTGTAAACAAAAAATAGAAAAAAACTCTTTTTAACAAGAGCTAATAAGATAGAAATTTTTAAATAATTAGAATGATCATTTGTACAAAATTAAAATAAATAAATTGAAATAAAACAAATTGAATACCAAGAAGCGTTTCAAACTCGCGACCTTAAGTTCTTTAGAACACATTTTTAACCGACCACGCCATTCACGTGACGTGCCCTATAATTGGTAATGGCAATAATTTACAGTAATTTTTAAATACAGGTAATAGAATGTTTATCTGTACAAGAAAAAAAAATTACTGTATTTAGAATGATCAAAATTAAAATACTTAAAATTGAAAAAAAAAAAAAAATTCTTAAAATTGGGGGGAAAAATTGAATACCAAGACGTGTTTCGAATTCACGACCTTAAGTTCTTTAGAACACATCCTTAACTGAAGGTCGCGAGTTCGAATCATGCCTCTGTATTAATATTCTTTTTTAATGAACATGAATAAGAACTTGTTTGCCAAAATGAAAACTCGAACTCATGACCTTGTGTTCTTTAGAACGCATCCTTAACCGACCGCGCCATCCATGCGACGTGCACTATTGGTGGTAAATGGCAGTAATGAGACCCCGGTTTTGTTTTGTAGGTGTAGGGGGAACCTTGGGGTCCAACTTAAAAAATGGGCGATGAATGTTTGTCGGAAATAACCTCTAGTTCACATGTGTACAAAATTTCATGCACGTCCGTTCAAAACTGGCAACGCTGGACACTTTTATTAAAGTTTGAAAAGTTTTGGTAACAAGCAGTGGCGGCTCTAGGATATATTTTCTGGGTGGGGGCTAAGTGACGGTTAATTGAGCTCGTAGGCTCGAGCTGGGGGAAGGGGCTGAGAGGGGGATTCCCACTCTCAAATGTGATTTTTTTTTTTAAGAATAGCAACCTCTGGATGGCCGGAAATGGTACTCTCAGCCTGTGACAGATATGTGTTGGCTTGGTGTGGGCCTATTTTTATGTTTTATGGTCCGGCGGGGNCCCCCCCCCATACCCCGCTGGCACTGCCACTGTTAACAAAAATCCCATACCCCGCTGGCACTGCCACTGTTAACAAAAATACGAACAGCATTGACGCTCTGGGTCAGACCAAAAACGCCGCCTCTATTTTTCCGTGAGCTAGGCAAACAAATAATTTTTTTTTGGAGTTTTAATTCTGGGATGGATTATCCAGAGAAAAATGTTAGTAGAGATGTGCACCGTGTAAAGCAGCACCAAGTAGGGGAGGGTGTGGTGTTATTAGAAATGCTAGTATAGACCCACTGTGTCATGTACCTGGCAGGTACATGGAATTTAAATCAATAATGAGCTTGTTTTGGAGTACCATGCCCTCCTCTTTCTCATTTCTTTTCTCTTTTTTTGGCTTTGATGCATTCTGTCTGTTTCCTTGATGTATTGCAAATCTGCTGTTAGACACGAACAAATGCAATGGCAATATTTTTATTTATCTTATTTATTTACAAAACGTTTTTTTTGGTGTGAAGTGGATAAAAGTGGAACTACAATCACATAATTACTGTCAAAATGTGTTAATGCATGATCATAAAGACTTATTGATCCCAACAACTTTAGAAAAAACGTACGGTAATTTTAATGGAGTAATAATAGTATGTGTTTAGAATGATGTTCCTTCCATTAGATTTGTTTACAGTCGTTTGGTTGTGGGGGGGGGTCATCGTGTATTCGAGGGAGGAATTTATTCCAAATGAGGACATTTATTCAAAGCGGGGCATTTATTCGAATATGGTAATATTGTGG